ATTACTATGTGACCCAGGCTAATATAGCATGGACAGGTCAAGCCATCTATTTAAACCATCATTTTTGATTCTCTGGTTTTTATACCATACAACTGTCCTTCGGCTGCCAACAGCGAACTGTCTTTCGACCTTGCCCTTGTTAATGGCATTATCTTGGTGTTAGTGAGAATCTTTATCTACATAAACACTTACATCTCATTATTAGCCTGCTCTATCGCAATGGGAAGCACGCTAATACCATTCCATGCCTGTATTTTTCGGCATGCTGGTTGTAAACCAAACTTGGGACCATGAAGCTAACATAAAGGTGGGCCATATTTCAACATGCTTAAAGAATACCAGACTGACCGGAACAGCTTCTCCTTGGGATCCTCACCACCAGCAATATTAAGCGTGACTACGAAGATCTTGCAAAGCACATGGGACCTAGTCAGTATCCATATAAATTATATCATGGGTACAGGCACAATTCAGGAGTGGAGTTTACTGACACAAGATGACCATAGATTGCACTATCCTTGCTATCCAGCGCAACTACAGATCAAAGGATGAATAATCTTACCCAGGGGGCAGCGGCCGCACCCCGACACCTTCCCCCCTAAGGCCTCAAGTCACTAAGGAATTTCTTACGGGGCCGGAGCTATTGGTGACAGAAAGCAGCTTCTACAAGACTAGGGCCGGCCTGCACCTACTTCAGCAGCACCCCTGCTGATTAAAGAGGCGTTAGAGTCGGAAGAGCGCCCTAGCAAATACAAATACACCGAAAGAGCAATAGAGACAAAGTATATGATATCTTCAACCGGGTCTCTAGCGCCAATGAGATGCTAATGCTATTATGGCACTTAAATATCTCTAACTTGATAGAGAGCCTGTGCCACTGCGCCTGACTGACAACACCTAGCAGGCATAATATTTACCAAGAGACTCCCCAGCATCCAAGGCATTAGTCCACCCACCGACGCCATCCTTGCAAGACAACCCTACTCAGACCCAGAGGCTCAGACCAAGATCATCCAGCTAGGCAGCCAGGCGGGTGAGGACCCCATTCCTTATCACGCAGTGCAGTGGACTGCAATCAATTCGACCTCTCTCCTGGTCATAGTGAGGTGAAACTTGCCCACCTAGTAGTGCTGCTGCTGATAGCAAGTCACAATCTCCAGTCATACTGCTTGATGCAACTTATGATATTTATATCATACAACGTCAACTGCGAACAGACTTTCTCCTATGAAATCTCAATTGGTAGTATTAACCTTCGCAGCAGACTCATACAACTTTAATTAACATACAGTCAGCATGGATGTTAGCATAGACGTCACTCAGCTACCCGTCACAGATAAACATACACAAAATTGGTCATGTACAGTCGGCATGGACGTCACCCAGATTCCCACCACTATGAATACCCAGGGCCTGCTTTTGAAAGGCCACTGACAACAGGGAGTTGCCTACTGTGGGACCCATTATCGCCAGACTACTATTGGACGCATCAGGCACTCAGCAACATTGAACAGGCGTATATTAGCACTGAGGCTATAGCTCTATGCTAACAATCCCCTCTCTCTGTCTAATTTGGAAGAGGGGCCTTTAGGCGGCAGAAATAGCTGCTAATACATACTGCCTGACTTATCTATCTCTAACAAGAGCAAGCAAGAGGAATTTGGGCCTGCTATTAACCATGCTTGACAGACAGTGGTGGGCAAAGCTCATCCTGCAATGAAGATGTTCCATGGGAATATTCTTCAGCAGAGGACGGTCATTCATGATCTTGTTTAGATATTGGAGTTATCTAAGACATACAGGCATGACAGGAAGGTTAGTAGCATCAAGTTGACTTCCCCTGCTTGTGCTAATCTGTTTAAGTAGGTGGTCACTCCTTGAGGTAGGGGTTTCAGGCTTCATGGTAGTGATCACCACTCTTAGTCTGATTTGGATGAGTGGCATTCAGGCAGTAGAAACAGCTGCTAATACATACTGCCCTAGTCATAGGGGTAGGCCATCGCGCCTACTGTGGAGGCTTCGCCCGCATTAAAACAGACATTTACCTAGAAATACATTCCATCATTAAAAGGCGCCTCCGGGATGTAAGAATCCTCCCCCTTGGACACCCATGAAAGCACAACCTCAGCCTTTCCTGGCAAACTATCATGCCATACTATGCAGAGCAAGCTCACCACACCCGGAGTAATGCTAATTACTTCAAAAACCTTATTTTTAGGGGCTAGCCTAGTCACCAACTGGGTTGCTTTACGCGTTCGATAGCTTTCTACTTCACTAATCCCTTCCTTCTCTTGCTTTCTGTTATTCAATGTTTCCTCTCCTGCTTTATGCTACAGCGACCAGATGGTCCCTAATGCCGCGCGTTGCTTTGCTTTTCCTTTTGCTCTACAGCCACTAGATTGTCCCTAAGGCCACGCGTTACCAATCACTGTTCCTGTCTTTCTATATCTTTGTTCCTTGTACCTGCGCACCTAAATTATCATGATGCATTGCTCTTGGAGGCTCTCCTCCTAGTCAGACAGCCCGACCATTCTTCCGGGTTTGATAGGGCTATCTACTAGGGCAGATAGCCTCATCATCTTTCTCTCTTAGCTAGGTAGCAATATCACGACATTCATTCTCCGCATCCTTCGAGAGGTTATGAGCCCTCTTTTGACTCTCCTTTATGTACGATTTACGAAAATTCATTCTCTTTTACCTGAGATATCCCGATTTCCCGCTTTTTCCCGTTTTTCTAGTGATTTTCTCCTGTTTTACATGGTTTTACGTCATTTTTCATGTCTGAGGGAAACGAACTGTTAAACCCTCTCCTCTTACCTGGAAGATACATGCAAGACGAAGAAACGAGTTAAGAATCAGAAACAAGAACAGATACACGAAGAAATCAACAGACGACCTCGAACGGCGCCAACGCTATGGATACCACCCAGGCGGCACGACTGAAAGACTCTTCAGTCGATGTCGTACTAGGCCCCGTCAATAAGAAGTTGAAAAGCCGCAAAGATTACGACGTATGGACGTATCTAATTGAGGCGACCCTGGATATGCACAAATTGAAGGAATTGATCAAGAAATTAGTACCAAGACTAGCAGAAAATCACGAGAAATATGAGACATGGTATATGATGTCCAAGCTACTGAGAAACTGGTTGATTGGACAGGTCAGTGTTGACATTATCAACATGCTTCGCGTCACGATGGATCCAACCGACTTCGCAGACGACATGTGGATCAAGAATATCATACTGGGTCATGGACACGCAGAGGCCCGATCCAATTTCACCATAACGGTTTTCATAAAGAGATCAGACTTTGTAACTATTGCGCAGTACGTCCACACTTTCTGAGATCGTGTAAGCGCATGCGAACGTTTGAAAACCCCGATTACCCCATATATGGCGACCCTTCTCTTCATGAAGGAGCCATCCAGTGAGCTGCCGTCGTGGTGCGATGCCATAGAATGCACGTTTACCAAAGATTCGCCTACCGAGATGAAAGAAAAGGACTTCCATGGGTACTGCATGCTAGCAATTGACAAGGGAAACGAGTACGAAGCTGCTTTTGGTGCGAAAGGCAAATCCAATACCACTTCTCAAAGCTCGAAGCAAAACCAATCCAACTAGACGAGATCGAATTCCAATTCGACCAATCAAAACCAGATAAACCAGTCAAATCAAACGACGAGCATATCGGCTTGGCGGGGATCTAGAAAGATGGCCCCTCCTCCTGGCAAGAAGGCTGTGGAATACGTCAGTGAATGGAAACAACGAGATACACGTGATGAAAACGGTCGCTGTGCTTTTTGCCATATACCTGGTCACGGCCCACCCACTTGCTACTACTTGATTGACGAGAAACCTCCTGGGTGGATGCCCAGTCCAGAGATGTGGTGTTGGAAACCACCTAGACGAAATGCAAATACCTGAGGACAAACGAATCAGACAAATACAGCTCACCTAGCTTCCCAACTTCCTAATGAATATGCTGACGCAGTTCTCATTCTTGCAGGTGCAGCTGTCGAAGATACCGAATCCGATCCAGACCTCATCGAATCAGATCACCGTCACGTCCTAGATTCCGGTACAAACCGTACGATCTGCGCGACGGGTGCGAACATGGTTGAATATCGACCATACGGGGATGGCGAGAAAGGCTACAGATTTGAAACTGCGGAGGGAAAGATCTCACGTACTGACGGTGAAGGCCAACTGGTTCTTCGCTGCAAAGTGGGAGATACCATCCACGAACTGACATTACCTTGCGAATTCCACTCGAATGCGACGACGACCTTGATATCGACCAATCAGCTTGCAAAGCTAGGTTTCCACTACAACTCTCGAACAAATATCTTGGAATACGAAGACGGATCCACCTTTGGCTATGCAACAACGGAACTGGATACCGGTGCTAGGGGTCCTGGAAAAGGTAGACCTCGCAGCTGCGGTGCTGACCCCGTTGGAAATACACCGTCGACTAGGCCACTGTGGTAGATCCAAGCTTAATACGACGATCAAGAAAGGCTATCTCAATGGCGACATCGTGGTTGGTTCTGACAAGTTCCACTGCGAGGCATGTCACCTTGCCAAGGCAAAGAAGAAGATATCTCACAAACCGATGGAACGGGCGAAGAATCCAGGAATACTATGGCACGTCGATCTGCAACCGGTGAAGGCGCAGGGTACCCACGGATATCACTACTACCTCATTGGCGTAGACGATAATTCCAGATTCCAACGGATCGATCCTTATGAACCCTAACCCTGTGAGATAGGTACTTATTTGCTTCTTATTCGCTTCCATTTCCACATCAGGTTGGCATGACCTTAGTCACTCGAGACCTCCCTCGATTCTTGTTTCCTAGATAGTTTTCTCTTCAATAGTTCTGACCAAACCCATGATCATTCTCTTCATCTGTTTTCATAATCCCAAAATACACTCTTAGCTGGCAAGACTGGTCCATCTACATCTCCAACCACGTCGGATCCTCACTCAATATCATAATGACTCTGTCTTCTAAAAACACAGTATCCCCATGGCCATCAGAGATCACAGAGACCAGCCAGCGTGGCGATTTTGATCGATCCTGGGAAATCCCAGACTCGGGGGATGAGGCTGCAGTCCAGTTGTTCAAGAATTTACGTCGGCAAAAAGAAATACCTCTCCCCAGGCAGGCCTTAGATGATATGGATCAGCACCAGGGGGTGCAACAGGTTCCTACTCAGGCCGCTCTTCCACAGCCCCTGAGCAACATCACGCCTAGAAACCAACCTTCAGATAAGCAATACCCTACTGGTTTACACCACACCCAACACATTTCCAGTGGAAGCAGAGCGTCAACTAGTGAAAGCAGAGCGTCAACTAGTGAAAGCAGAGCATCAACCAGTGGAAGCCGAGCGTCAACCAGTGGAAGCCGAGCGTCAACCAGTGGAAGCCGAGCGTCAACCAGTGGAAGCCGAGCGTCAACTGGTGGGATGGCGAGAGGATGTGATAACTACCAGGTGAATAAGATAGAGGAAGAGGAAAGAGACACCAAAGGGCTTAGGAAACATACCCCGGAAAATGGAAGACTACACCGCTTGTCATTGGCTAGTTCTAGTAGGGCAGGCAGTCTCTCCTTGCCATCAATGCAGGTAGTGCGGCCCGCCCTAGGGGCCCATCCTACTCTAGGGTCACGGCAGGGGGGGACTGCAGAGGAGCCCATTTGCATCGAGGAAAGCGATGACGACTCTAACTCCTCGCATAAACATTCTCCACAATTAAAGGTAAGGAAGCAGGCCCATTCAGTGTCACCTCACAATCTAATTCAGAAGACTGATAAGCATGTCCAGAGGGAGCCTAGTCTCCTGCAATTCCCTGGCAGGCGGAGCATATCTCAATCTCAGCGCAGGCCTAGTGACAGCACCAGCATCAACTCAAGGATAAGTCTACTGGAAACCACTCGCGCGAACCAGCAGAGGGATACCTCAACTCACTCCTCTGAGAGATTAATGCCACCACCGCCTCGAGCAGGGCACAGTTATGACCCAGCACAAGAGAGCATGGAGCGCCTGGTTCCAGCAAGAACACCATCAGTATTCACCCAATCCAGTCCATTATGGTCCAGAGGAAGTCACCAGAGCATCACCAGACAGCGGATACAACACACTGCTACTCACGATCCTCATCCTAGCTGGTCCGCCTCTTTGGAAATCCGGAGTGGCCGAGAGGGGAGCTTGGTATCCCAGCCAATGGCGAGCACAGAGCAAGAACAAACACCTATCTTCCCAAGCCCAAGCTTGAAGCCTCTACCCGGGGAAGCTCTTTAGTCCGCTTGCCATCCATAGGGACGCCTGTGGGCGAGGATGAGTCAATCCGGGAAGATAGGGATCATCTTGATGACATAGAGAGGAGGATCAGGGCAGCTATGGAGAATGTCCGTGTAGCAGATCGCTATGGGAGACTCAGTCAGCGTGGGAGACACCGACGACTACGGCTCCGCTGGACTAAAAGAGACTTGGATTGGTTGATCAGAAAGGTGGATGAGAACGGGCCTGAATGGCAGCTGATCTGGGAGCTGAACCGAGAGGGGATGCCGGTGATCCACCCCCGACGGACACCAGTGGACGATAAAGATAAGGGAATGATCTACAAGAAAGATCAAATACGGTACGCATGTCTACCTTACTCATGTTTAGGTGAAGAGCTAATTTTTAATTTTAGTCGAGGGATCCCGATGCTCACCACATGGCGACGTGTCCCAGTGAGGGAACGGGATATCCAAGCTGCTGCAGTATATCGGGTCCAGAATGCACTAAGAGGTGGGTGATAAGGAGATGTCAAAGCATCATATTGTTAGTATCAGACTGTATATTTTACACTCTCTTAGTTTTCCCTTTCTAGTTTGTTCTTCCCAACCAGAACACACATTCCTTCTGGTCATGTCGCTCCTTACATAGATTATCACATACATTCTTGGACACAGCAAGAACATGTCCCAGTTTGACTTCTATATGCTCTGATTCCAACCATATCAGTATTACTATATTAAGTGGAATCCGACAGGAGACTAATAAAGCTAAAGGCGATGCCCTGAAGTAAAATAATAGAAGGGGGGCGTACCTGTCAGAGCTGGCCTGGCAGTAATAATATCGGAAGAAGATCAGCCCCAACATATGAGAGGCGCCTGCATACAAGAACGCAGGCTATACACACAAGAAAAACAACATCATTGACTACCTTAAATTTGAGGTAGCCCGAGAGGAGTAGTCTGATAATTTATGGTCCGCTAATGTATGGTCCTCTAATGTATGGTCAAAAGTATGGCTTATGTAATTCTGCCCAGTGAAGGAACAGAACAACATCATATAGTAGTTACCTCGTAAATATATATTTTACACATAACCATCTGCGAATACCTTCACCTCTCCCCCTTCCTTCCCTATGCTTAGTATTCTTATTGTATAGCTACATAGATAGTAATCAATGCATGATTATGATATCTAGCCTGAGCGACTTCACACTGGACACCTCTTTTGATAAATTAAAAGGGAAGAAGTTTTAGAATCCTTAAGGACCCTGCTATCGCTAAAATAAAATCAAATTTGTTATATCACCTGTATGGGGGTTGGCATTTACCATCATTTTGCCCTATAGCATTAGTATATATGATGACCTTGCCACTGGCTGCCTGCTGAATACAGTCCCGAATGAATGTCATAACTGTCGCACTCTTGATCTACTCATAGGGCCCCCAGCCAACCCTGCTCATGTCCGGCCGCCACTTAAGCCTATTATTCCTATGTACAATGGTAAGTATGGTAAGGACGCCGCGAACAAGTAGCTCAAGAAGGCTGATTGATGACTACATTCATGATGAGAAAATGCTTGCTTAAAGAATGCCACTAGAGCTAAGAAGGTTACAGTAGTCAAGCATTATCTTATAGGTGAAGTAAAGGAGTGTTAGGACGCACACAAGAAGAAGGTTGAATGTGATCCAACAGCTACTATTCAGGCCATGGATGACTTCAAGTATTGGGTTCGAGAAAATTTCAGAGAAATTAGTGGTGAATATAAATGTTAGGAAGAGTATGAGAAGTGCACTCAAGGTAATCAAATAGTGTAATCTTATGCTGCTTCCTTAGTAGAAGCTGCCAAACAGGTTGAATCTAGGATTCCCAACAATGTGTTGATTCAGAAGTTCATTTTGGATGCTAAACCAATCTTACAAACATGTTGGGTGGAAGATCGCAACAAACTGACCAACTTCAATAGTGTTGTTCATTAATTCACTGAGTACAAACAGGGAGTTGCTTTACACACTCAACTTTAAACTCACTCTTTCAACAATAGTGATGGGCTGGATGCCGACCCAATGAATGTGGATCTGAATGCCATCATGGCGTAACCCAATCGTCTGAAGAAAGGGACACGCGAGTAGAAACTCTGGTGTCAAAAACACCAAGCTTGTTTCAGCTGCGGACAGAAGGGCCACAGTTCTCAGGCATGTTCAACCTCGAACAAATCAAGGTCCGATCGATCCAACAGAGGATCGGGAAAAGCGAATGGCCACTAGAGGAGGAAGCGCTAGTCAATCGATTGTTAAAGGCTTCCAATGTAGAGGAATGTGAGGTGTTCAACGATCTCGAACCTCCAGACAATAGTGATGATGCCGCTACTGATAGCAATGTGAAGGATCACCATGAGCAAGGTGATACTGGAGCTGACAACAACACAGAGAAACAATTGACACCGGGTGACCAAGGAGCTGATGGCGACAAGGAGAAATAGTCAATATCAGGCGATGCTGGAACTGACAGCGATAAGGAGAATCAACCTCTGCAAGAGGAATCCTTTGACGCCATGGAGATCGATTCCAAATCTAAAGATTGCGATAGCGTCAATGCATATCTGAATGCTCTCAGATCTGAAGTCTTATGCTTTCCAGTAATGCTCAAATCTCCTCAACTAGTCACTAAGCTTTGTACCCTTCTTGATTGTGGATCCAGTTATACATTCATAGTGAAACGACTGGCAGACTCACTACCTTTGTCATGGTTTCGGGTTAGACAAATGGCTAGAAGCCTGTGAATTCGTCTGCCGAATGGAGAGTTCATGCACACTTCATACCAAGTGTGAAATCCTCTCAAATTGGGCGATTGGTGCTGCATCATCACTCCTTGGGTGCTCGAAACAACTGAGTACGACATCATCTTAGGTTGCGACTGGCTTAAGCACGTCAACCCAGTTGTTGATTGGATCACTGGACGAATGACTCTGAAAGGTCGAGGGATGAAGCGAACAACGATCGATCCCATAGACCTTCAATGTCGAATTCAACCAGGATCGAGCGCGTCTGTCAATCTTATCTCAGCGAAACAGCTTCAACAAACACTTCGGAAAAGCAAACAAGAAGCTTGGTTGTTCATCGCTCGAGAACACAAGGAGGGAGAACCATCGTCGACTGAACCGCACTGGCTAAGTCGTCTGCTTACCCAGTACGAGGATGTTTTTCGGGAAGAGTTGCACCCCGGAATGCCTCCTGCTCAGTCAATACAACATCATGTCGATACAGGAGACAGTCCGCCGATCAACGTGAACTCTTACCCACAGTCACCAGAAAAGTTTCGTGAAATGAAGGAGCAGGTCGAAGAACTGCTGAAGAAAGCAGTCATTCGCCCATCAGCTAGTGCTTGGGGCTTTCCAGTCGTGATTGTTCCTAAGGCTGATGGCAAATGGCGGATGTGCATTGACTACCGATTGCTCAACAAGGTGACTATCAAGAACACCTATCCACTGCCGCGGATTCAAGAGCTCCTAGATCGAGCAGGTCAAGCTAAGTGTCTTTCGAAGCTTGATCTCCTCTCAGGGTATTGGCAGCTGCGAATGGGTGAATCATCGATCCCGAAGACTGCCTTCAACACGTCCTTCGGAAAATTCGAATTCTTAGCTATGCCTTTTGGACTATGCAACGCACCTGCAACGTTCCAAACAATGATGAATGGCATCATGCAAGACTTCGACTTTGTGGTGGTATATCTCGACGATATCTTGATCTTTTCGGACTCAGAGGAGGTACACGAGCAACACGTTCAACGAGTGCTCGATCGACTCCGAGAACACCAGCTATATGCGAAACTCTCTAAATGCTCATTTACTAAGAGAGAATTGGAGTTTTGCAGCCATATCGTCGGCAATGGATTTGTTTGACCGATACCCGCAAAGGTGGAGGCTATCAAGGTGTGGCCGAAACCAACGAATGTTCATGAAGTTCGACAGTTCTTGGGACTAGCTACGTACTATCGTCGATTTGTACATGAGTTCGCACGAATAGCTGCACCACTTCATAATTTGTTGAAAGAATCAGACGCTTCGCTTCGCAAAAAGAAGTTTCGACCTATTGTCTGGAATGCTTGATGTCAGAAATCGTTTACAACTCTCAAGAATGCAATGGTGAAAGCACCTATCTTGAAGGTTGCCGATCCCCGAGAACCATACCGAATTGAAACTCATGCGTCTGAATGGGCCATTGGCATGGTTCTACTACAGCAAGACGCTAAGGATCAGTGGCACCCAGTGGCATTCGATGGTCGAAAGCTCGCGATAAAGGAAGCACTACGTCGACAATGGCAAACCAATCACGGTGATCACCGATCACGAAAGTCTTCAATACCTCACCAACACGAAGACATATTCCAAACGTCTTGCGCGATGGGTTGAAGAATTTCAAACATACGACTTGGTTATCAGATATCGCAAGGGCACCGAAGCGGTTGTCCTGATGCGATCAGTCGTCGACCTGACTTTGTTGAAGAAGGTGCGGCGAATAGAGCGGATCCTCCTATTCTCACGCTTTTGGCAATGCAGTTGTGGCGAACAATGGGTGAAGAGCGTCTTCGCTCCCTGCACAACTTGTCCGAAGCAGAATGGTATCCGTTGATTGTGGCATTTCTCAAAGGAGACGATCTGGATGTGTCTGACAAGGTCAGAACGAAGATTCAAACATTAGCACCAAGTTTCAAAGTCAAGGTCGAATACGTCGATCGGCAACCTACAGATCGACTGTACTACCTGGATGAATCCATCGAGACGCCATATCTTGAAATCCCTTTTCGAAAAGACTTCGTGTTGCAGCTCCATGATCAATTTGGTCACCTCGGCTATCCAGCACTGACCGGTGTGATTCGCACTCGTGCTTGGTGGCCGACAATGAGGAAAGACATCCAGGAGGTCACGAAGAACTTCCCGAATTGTCAAATCGCGAAGCCTTCTCGACCAAATCTGGAACGTGAAGCAGCGCAACACTTGGTGAAGAAAGGTATCCAACCTTTCGAGCGATGGGGAATTGACCTTATTGGACGTCTTCCGACAACTCCAAATGGGAATCATGGATTGTCACGGCAGTCGATCATGCAACTGGTTGGGTTGTCGCAAAAGCTGTGCCTGATGCGAAAGATGAGACATTAGCTCGTTTTCTTCACGAAGAGATCTTTGGCAACTATGGAGCGTTCGAAGAACTGCTCTCGGATAATGGTGCTAACTTACTATCCAGAGTTGTTGCCGCGTATGTCAAGATACTCGAGGCACGCCATCGAACGACCACACCGAACCATCCCAGAACCAATGGAAAGAATGAAAACATGAACGGCTTACTGGGAAAGATGTTGACGAAGTACCTCATGGGAAAACCGACACGTCTGTGGGATGAATACCTGCCTCTTGCTGTGTTCACTGCAAGAGTACATGTTCATACCCAGACGAAACTGTCCCCATTTTACCTTCTCTATGGCGTGCATCCTTCGTTGCCTGGACATCCGCGCATGAATCGACCGAGTTTGGAGGAGATCGAGACTCGATTGCAACGCGTAAACCACGCATGATCCCTTGCCAATGAGAAGCTATTAGCACATGCGATCAAAAGAAACATCATTCGAAACAGCAATGTCAAGGAATCGCGACTTGAACCTGGTCAGTGGGTGTTGATTCGAAACGACTCACCTCAGAAGTTTCAGAGTAAGTGGTTTGGTCCATATCGAATCGTTCGATCACATCCATTAGGAACATATGCTCTTGCAGAACCCAATGGCCACATATTAGACAATCTAATCAACGGACAACGGTTGGTGGAAGCTGGAATTAACAAGGAACCTGAGAAACTTTGGACGTCAGCGGCTCTGACGCGATGATTACGGAAAGCAGGGCTGTTGATCCACACACCAATGGAAGTAAGAAAAGTACTGGAGGAAGTCGAAGATCCCTTATTCTCATATAACGACCTTTCAAAAATGACTCGAAAGGAATGGGAAATGCGGATGTCGGACGTGCGTGCCAGCCAATGTAAGAATGGCTCTTCAAAGTGTGTGTATAACCCTTCCATAGCCTCAATTACACAATGTGATGGTTCCTAGACCGGTGTAGAATGATGTAGCTGCAGCTTAGTAGACTCTAGAGTCGACCTAAGCAAATCATTCTTTTTGAATGAACCAATCAAATTGCATCAAACCATATCAATCCAGCGAGGTATCCGAGCGAGCTTCCAAAGACTTTAACATTTTAACACCCCAGAGAGTCTTCTGATTGGTTGAACGAGAGGATACGCCACCACCACCGCCAGCACCAGGGGGTGGGCTTGGGCAGTCCTTGACGAAATGCTCGTTCGAACCGCAACAGAAACAGCAACCTTCCTCCCAATAGTTCTTGCCAGTTGATATCGCTGAGATAGAATTGATAGCACCGTTGATAGCACCGTCAGTAGCACCTATCTTCATCGAATCAGGGTAACAGGGGGTCGGTTTTGAACCAGTCGAATGGCTAGGGGCGGAGGTAGAGGAGAATGGGGCGCCACTAGCAAGCTGTTGAACAACACGCAGAAAACGAGGATAGTCAGTAGGCAGATTGAGTTGCTGAGCAAGCCGATTCTTAATGGTAGTGGATAGACCGCGGCGTAGAGCGGATATCTTGGTTGTATCTGGCCAGGTCTGACCCCTAGCCTCGTACAAAACGCGTCCAAACTTGGCGATAAAAGCCGGTAAGTCATCATCTCCCTGTTTTAGACCTAAAAGCCTATCTTCTGCCTCATGGATCTTGTTCGAATTAGTGTAAACCCACTCCAAGTGCTCTAAGATGGTATGGAAGTCCTAAGAACCAGTTTCCTCAGCGTGGTGAAGCTGCGGCAGAACCATAGCTTAAATGTTGCTATCCAGGTTGAGATAAACATAGTAGAATTGGGCTTTCGCGTCACCAATAGCCTCACCATCAATCTTTAGCTTGGCCTTGATTGAGGGTAACCACGTATCGAACTTGAGGGATTGTCCAGCGAATTTCTCGGGGTCAGGGAGCGATGGTTTTGGGCGACGAAGGGAGGAGGAAGGATCGGTCGATTTCGAAAATGCTTGCTGAGCGGCGGCCGGCTGCTGTTTAACAAGGTTATTCTTATTGCGCGGAGCCGTCGTGGCGTTCTCAAATTCTGAATATAGATGAGCAATTTGGTCCATGATACCAAGAGAAAAGAAACAGAGCAGAAAACAGAGTCAGAGAATTTAAACACAGAGACAGAAGACAGAGAGGCAGATTGGAATCTAGCAATTGAGTGGGTGCAAAAAATTCTAGTCTGGCAAACACCGAACGACCAGGAAGTGGTATTGTGTATGCTGTACAATTGGTAGATGTCAGAGCAGACAGAGATAAAGAGACAGATTGGAAACAGAAAAATTCGATCCCATCTAGGCCTCAAATAGCAGAGAATCAGAAATGGGGGATCAGATCAGAACAGAACAGAATGAGCAGAACAGAATGATCACCCAGCATACGCCAGACCAGTGATCCAGAAATAGAGGTTCAACTCACTTCGATGCCAGGGCCTTTAGGCAAAGGATGCTTAGTATTATGTGATGATGATGCTCAGGCTAGATATCATAACCATCCATTGACTATCTAGGTAGCTGTACACGAGAATACTAAGCATAGGGAAGGAAGGGAGGGAGAGTGTGTGTGTGTGTATATTTTACGGCCGTGGCTCGTGACTTGCACGTTTTCCACTATCCCTGATCAGGGCAAAGGCCGCCAGGGGGTGAGCCCTGGGTGTCTCTAACTATTGCTAGTTCTATGTA